AAACATGTAAATATTGTTATTGTGTTGTCTAAAGTGTAATTTAAGAACATGGCGATTGACTTAGTTTATACAACTGTGATTTTACGGTTTAATATCATATAAATGAGATATTGTACATCATTAAATGGCGATTCACAGCCCAGTTAACTCCACTTATATATAAAGCTTGCTCACAGGTGATATAACACCACACGTCTTTTGCTTGCAACTTTTAATGCTTCATTCATCGCGTTTAGTAACTTTAGAGCTCACACTTACACTCGCTGTGCTGTTGAGCTGCTTCTGTCCCTCAGAGACTCCGACTGGCAAACAGGTGAATAGCGTTAGCGGTTTATTTATACTTCCGGTAAAGTGGACTATACCAACTATACCAACTATAGAATATACTATGGGGGAGGGCAGATTAACCAGTGTTAATTTAGAAAGGAGTTCATTTACTATATAAAATTAACATTTGTTGTCCTTAATATTCACCTTAATTATTGTAGTTTAATTGGTTAATTTGCTTGTTTCTCCCCATGTTATGCAAGTTAATAGTTAGGGTCGCCTTAATTAGTTTTTGTTGTTTTTATTTATCTTTTTATGTCACTGCACCTTGATAAAGTTAATGAGGTTGGCTATTATTACATTTATAAAAAGTAAAACTAAATGAAGTTGCATTAATCTGTGAATAATTGTCACACTCTATATATGCATCAATACAGATGCACAGTTTACTGAATTAATGAAAGAATTAATTTTCTTCTCAGCTTAGCCCCTTTATTAATTTGTGGTCACCACAGCGGAATGAACCACCATCTAATCTAGAATAAGTTTTATGCAGCCAATACCCTTCCAACCGCAACCCATAAGTGGGAAACACCCATACACACTCATTCACACACACACACACACATACAATATGCCCAATTTTAGCTTACCCAATTCACCTGTGCCACATGTGTTTGGACTGTGGGGGAAACCAGAGCACCCGGAGGAAACCCACACCAACACGGGGAGAACATGCAAACTCCACACAGAAACACCAACGGACCCAGCCGGGACTCGAACCAGCGACCTTCTTGCTGTTATGTGATTGGGCTACCACATCACCTGAATAAGTTCATTTAAAATTAAATAAAACTAATACAAATATATAATCATATACACACATTTCTAAACATAAATGCATTGTGTGGATTATTCCTGTGATACAAAGCTTTTTCAGGATTAAATAAAAATTAAATAATATAGAGAATATTAAAATATAACCATGCATTAGACCTGATATCTCATACACACACACACACACACACACACACACACACACACAAGCACACAAGCACACAAGCACACACACACACGCACACACACACACACACACACACAAGCACACGCACACACACACACGCACACACACACACACACACACACACACACACACACACAGCTTATTTATGATTAATGATGAGAATATGATCGTGTCTCTCCTGTTTCTGTGTTTCTCTTGAATCTGCTGAAGATCCTGAGACTGAAGGAGAAGCGGTGCAGGAGTTCAGCACGCTGAGATCTACTGTTCATCTGTTCAGTGTCAGCATCACTTCATCTCATCACAGCAGATCCCCAAACTAAAGTCTCTCACTGAACATCAGCCTGATGCAGAACATGCTGCTCTTACAGTGCTTTATGAGTCCAAAGCGACCCGGTGCTGAACTCCTGCAGGTGCCGAGATAATGTCTGAGAGTCCAGCACATGCAGACTTACTCCAGCGAAACTGACCCTCATCAAAACAAATCAACATCCTAACAGGGAACTCAGAACATCCCGTAATGTTCCCTTAAGGTTGTGTAAATGTTAGCATATAACATTCATTAAAATCATCTTTTTGCAACGTTGATAGAAAAACATTGGTGAGCTGTTATTAATGAATGTTTTCATAAAGCTGTAGAAAATGGGGGGATTGACCCCCTAATTAATGCTTCACCCCCTCCCCTGAAGGACGTCTTGGATAGGGATCACCATTTATTAGAGAGAAATAGTTTTCTCTGATCTGCATATTAAATAATAATATTATTAATAAATTAATAAATCATATAAATATACATCTGACCACCCCTATAATGGTTCATACCATCGTAAATGTATGCAGTAATCACGCCAATCAGATATGTGAGAAATGATGAATTCAACAGTCTGAAACTGGCAGATCGTTCATGATGTTCACAACACACTCTTCTTAAAAAATGGGTGTTTGTACCTATACACTACCTGACAGAAGTCTTGTGGCTTATCCAAAATTGAGGAGCACAGATACTAACTGTTCTTCTAGTTGGTGATTTGGTGTCAGAAGTGTCTCTATGAAAGGTGAAGGCCTCTAGATTTTGCTGATTTGAGCTCAATAAATCTGATCATGTCTTGATGTTGAATATTGTGTCTGACTCCATCATGAGCTTGGAGGACTGCATCCATACATCTCTGACATGACTCACATCACTGATTAATAAAGTCATCTGGAATGAAGAAGAAAGCTTCAGCAGGATCCCAGAGTTCATCAAGAGTCTTTGTGTTCATCTTCAACACCTCCTCCTTCATCAGCTCAATAATGTTCATGTCTGGTGACAGGGCTGGCCAATCCTGGAGCAGCTTGACCTTCAGGAGCTTTGATGTGGAGGCTGAAGTATGAGCAGGAGCGCTATCCTGCTGGAGAATTGTCCCTCTCCTGTGGTTTGTAATGTAATGGGCAGCACAGATATCTTGATACCTCAGGCTGTTGATGCTGCAGATCTCTCGCACGCCCCCATACTGAATGAACCCAAACCATGATGTCTCCTTCACCAAACTTGACTGATTTCTGTCAGAATCTTGGTCCATGCTGGTTCCAGTAGGTCTTCTGCAGTATTGGTGATGATTGATGCAGATCAACAGATGATTCAGCAGAGAAATCCACCTTCTGACACTTTCACACATCATCAACTAGAAGACCAGATACTATCTGCTGCTCTCACAGCCCAGATCCAACACAAGACTTCTGTCTGGGAGTGTTTATAGCCTAAAAGTAAAGTCAAATTAGCTGCATGGTTTGCATAGTTTGATCCACAGTAACCTCTGAAAGAGCTAATCAGAGTATAGGTCAGAACTGACCATTTCAATGTGGTGAAGTCACTGGCCCATGAACATTTCCGGCGTGTTCTCAAACTATTTCATAACTGTAACGAGATAATTCAATCATAACTTAATGTTAAAACAGCTATCATAACATATTTATCAACATGTGGCGATGTTAAACAGGAAATATGTTGGGCCATTGTTTTTGTTTACATCCCTCAAAATATTCCATATACTAAATATCCTTCGAAACACCGAACCTAAAGATGTTTCATTAATAATTTAGATGTAATTTAAATAAATACATACATTTGATTTGCAGACTGAAGACTATATTACACACACTAATGTCACTAATAAAGCTGATCTTGGAATGTAGTGACTGACCAATCAGAATGGAGTATTCCAGACGGCCGTGAAATAATCTGCATAACCCCCGGCTGGATGTGCATTATCCTGAATATTAGGTGTGCTCAGTCATACAGTGTTTTACCCTGCAGAGTTCAGAGAGTGTGTGTGTCAGATCATACACACACACACACACCTGTGCAGGTATATGTGGGACTGACGGGTTTCATTAGCGCAGGCCTGGGAACAGTTATTACGCTGATAAAAGCGGATCAGAGCGGAGGAAATTGAATTCTGGAGGACATCAGTCGAGTGTCTCTGGATGAACGTCAGAGATATTTCTGCAATCTGGATCCAGGAGGACGAGATAAGAGACCCGCTGAACATCCAGAGAAAACGCCGACACACACACACACGTACGCACGCACGCACACACACCGATGGTTTACTGCTGTTCAGATCACTGAGCAGCAGCTCGGCTGGGGATTAATAACTCAGTAATCACAACCTTTTTCTTTTTGTCTTGTTTTGTTTTTGTTTCTATTTGGATTATCTAAAAATTCTGAAATCAGTCAGCATTTTCTAGACAAGCGCTAAATATAGTGTTGTTTTCAGAAATGATGAGTCAAAATAAATTTTTCCTTAAAACAAGCTAAATAATTGACTGGGGTGTATAAGTGTGTGTGTGTGTGTGTGTGTGTGTGTGTGTGTGTGTGTGTGTGTGTGTGTGTGTGTGTGTGTGAATGAGTGTGTATGGGTGTTTTCCAGTACTGGTTTGCATATGTTGGAATAGTTGGCGGTTCATTCCACTGTGGCCACCTCTGAAATAGAGACTAAGCTGACGGAAAATGAATGAATGAGTAAATAAGTGACAGAACATTAACCAAGATCAAAATAACACACTCCTGCTGCAGATTCAGCTGTGACTTGAACACAGTAAACCCCGTCTGTTCATGGCTAATTGATCTGTGTGTTGTTGTTAGATTATGGTGTAATAATGCAGTGATTCTTTACTGTAATAATCACCATTGGTCTGCTAAAGCACTACATGTAAATGATGTCAGAGGAGTTGAGTAATGGCAGTAATTAGAGAATCTCTCTGGCAGTAAATTGAGTGTAAATGAGGATGATTGGCTCGTTATCTTCATTAGCAGTGCAGTAATGTGGTATTAGTAACTGCACCGCTGTGATTCTCTCCATCAGCATCACTCTGACAGATCAAAACACTGCAGGAACACTGAAGAACAAACTCAAACCACAGGAGACGACTGGAGTACTGCGCAAGATTCATACAAAAGATGATGCCTAATGACGATAATAAGAGCATTAGCTTTAATATTAATATATGCCGGCCACTTTATTAGGGACCCCTTTTGTCTTCAGATCTGCCTTAACCCCTGGTGTTGTAGATTCAACAAGCTACTGTAAATATTCCTCAGAGATTTTGCCCCATATTGTCATGATAGCATCACACAGTTGCTGCAGATTTGTCGGCTGCACATCCATGATGCCAATCTCCCGTTCCACCACATCCCAAAGCTGCTCTATTGGATTGAGCTCTGGTGACTGTGGAGGCCATTTGAGTACAGTGAACTCATCGTCATGTTCAAGACACCAGTCTGAGATGATTGAGCTTTATGACATGCTGCGTTATCCTGCTGGAAGTAGCCATCAGAAGATGGAGACACTGTGCTCATAAAGGGATGGACATGGTCAGCAGCAATACTCAGGTAGGCTGTGGCGTTGATGCTCAATTGGTACTAATGGACCCAAAGAAAATCTCCCCCACACCATTACACCACCACCACCAGCCTGAACCGCTGATACAAGGCAGGATGATCCATGCTTTCATGTTGTCTGAGCCGAGCATCCGAATGTGTGAGCAGAAATGGAGACTCA